TTTTTAAGTAAAAATAAGTCGGCGTGTACATGGTTTATGTGTATATGTTATTTTGAAAAACGCGTAAGGAGTATGGTATTGTGCACTTTTTCCCAATTTTGCAGTGAATATTCGTCATGATTAAGCAGTTTTGTTAGATAAAATTTCTAGCATAAGTATAATTCGGCTAGTAGATTGTTGGAAGAAGTGTTCAGTAGATAAAAAGAAAAGAAACATGTCTTTACTTCGTGAAGACAAAATGGCGGCGGGAAAAAAAAATAGAGGGTTACTGTAGGAGAGTTGGTCGCCAAATTTTCGCCAAAAAAACGCCAAGTTACCATAATGTAAAGATCAACCTAGTTTTTTTTTTTGTGTACTAACACATTCTGTTAAAAATCCATGGAGTAGCAAAATGCATCCAGCATTGTGCTTTCAATGTATAAACATACTTTTATCTGTTTCAACGATTAAAGTTTTTCTACGAGTTTTTTTTTTTTTTTTTTTTTTTTTATCCTCTTTATCAAGAACACAGATTTCTCAAATGTATTTCAGTTTATAACAATTTTGTCAGCCATTTCTAACTCTTCATAGCGAAATCTAATACTGGTTAATTGTTTACTGCAGCACTACATAAATTTGGCTGCTGTAGTGAAAGGCAAATGACAATTATCTAACGAATTCTGGTTCAAACCCAAACATGTTCATTACAATTTTTTATATTACATTTCCAAAAAGATTGTTTTCTGAAATACAACGTTACCAAATGTGAATCTGAATATTTTCAATTTTGCAGCAAAATGTTGCATTCCTGTAGAAATTTTGCTGCACTTTCCTACATTGCAGGCAAATCCCATAAGCACATATTTTAAAATTAGGTGCAAGACTGAAAAATATTGTGATACAGCTTGTAATACAACCAGAACAGCATATGTGAATGTGGTGATGTTAGCTATTTGAAGAATTGTTATGCACATGGTTGCCAAAGTTTAATGATTTCTATTATGGTGGTTTTCTTCATAGGAGGTTATTGTTATTGCTTAGGCACTTGATGATACAATTGATCCCCATGCATCAAAGATGCATGAGATTGGAGTATGACAAAAGTATGCATGAATAGAATTACAAAAAGACAAAACAGTAATTAATATTATTACAATAACATTAACTACATCAAAACTGGAAAATGAAATAACAAATGACTACATTAAGCATTAATAATAATAATGATAATGAATTAGTTTCTGGATGTCAAATGCATCAGCTCTCTAACCCACCAATATTGACTGTATATGTTTTCTTCCTTCAGTAAGGAACATTTGAGTAGAGTCCATCTCAAAATTTTGGTTTCATCAAGTATACAAGGGACTGTAATATACCAGTGTGGTGCAGATGTTTAGTGAGACAACCATGTCTGTTCTCCAAACAAAGTGCCACAACTACGATGGGTCTGGGACAGTCTGAGATATTAAATCGAATCCCTCCACTTCTTATTCTTAATTTCTTCAAGTAATTTAACATAAAAATTTTTCCTCATGGCACTTTTTACTGTTCTTTTAATTGATGTAAATGGTACCCCACTAGTATTTGATTGTAAAATTTCAGTTCCTTTTTTAACTATTTTATCAGCTCATTTATTACCAGTAATTCTAATGTGAGGCAGGATCCACTGTAAGACAACAGTCATCCCTTTGAGGCTAGAAGGTAAAGAGTTCTGCAGAATTCAATAAATTTTTATTCTGTGACACTGTGTGCAGAAATCACTTGAATAGGTGAAAGCTAGTCTGAAAAAATAACATTTTTTTAGTTGGATTGTTCTAACAAAAATTTGTTCAGTTGCAATTGTAATTGCCGCCAGTTCTGTATTTAAATTGGTCTGAAATGGGCCAAGGTAACAATAGAATGCAAAAAAATCTGAATATACACCCGCTGCAACTTTGTCAAGCATTTTTGATTCATCAGTATGTATGTGAAGCCGATTATTCATTGATACCTGGAGTAAATTGTCTCCACGGCAGCTGCTTTTAGTTCACTTATCGATTGGTGATGACTTTGTTTTAGCATTCATCAAATAACATTCAAATCTAATAGATCTTAAAGACTTGTTGCTTTCAATAGTTCTGTGGGAATGTTCAGGAGGGAGTAATCTAATTTCAGTTTTAAAACTTTCTGCAAAAATCCATCCTGATTCTTCAATCTTTTAGGTATAGAGATATCATAATTTCTCTGTGACTTTGTTGATGGTAATCTGATTAGTTTCTTTTTATAGTATTAAAGCTCTGTCCTGAATAATTTCCTCCCATGGTTTATTGCTGCCTGTATTGGAGTGTGTTTTTCACAGCTCCAATTTCAAGACTAAGGGCCTCATTTTGAAAGAGTTTGAAGTTTTTAAATTATATTGCTACAGATAATCAGAGCCTCACAACAATAGCAGATTAATGGTTTTATGTATAAATTATATGTTTTATTTCTTTTCCACAACCCCATTTTACCTTGTGAACAAACAATCACCGTAAGCCTTTTTCGAGCTGTATCAATCGCATTATCAATATATCTTCACCAAGAGAGCTTTCTGTCAAATTTTACTCCTAAATATATAACTTCCTCCATCTCCTGGCTGCTTCTGCCATCATACTTTGTCTATATCTTCTTAGTAGAAGTACCGATTCATTAATTTATGCATTTCAGGAGGAAAGTTAAAAAAGATGCTGCTTGACTATTCACTGTCTGTAGAAATTTTAACTATATTGTACAGTTTTTCCCCCGGCATCTGATAGTTGTGAGATTCTATAGCCACACTATGCCTCCATATAAGAGGTATTTAACTTCTTTATGTTGGGCCAGATCCTTTTGATCTTGGTTGCAATATCAATTTTTTTTCTGTGTGATAGTTTTCTAATTGTTTTTAGAGATGTTTGTAAACAGATAAATGAGTATCAGGCTCTCAATAATAATAATAATAATAATAATAATATATACACAACAAGTAGCCAATAAAATTGTTAAAACAATGTTCTCCTCCTACTAGTCAATAATTTAATTTTTGAATTTTTATTATTCTATATTATCACATTCTTGCATTCATCTGGTCAGCCTGTGGTTGAATGGCTAAAGTTATGGAATTCTTTTAGTTCGCCAGTAATTTGTAATTGACAACTGAATATCAGGTTTTTCATAATTTTTCATGTAACATTAATATGCCAGATATAGGTGTATGTGTATATTTATATACATATATGTGTAATATTTCCGGGAACATAGAAGAGTAATCAGTTTGCATTCATCGTGGCTGGGAGTGTAAGGTAGTGTCCTAATGACGACAGAAAAGAAGTTAGCTGTTTTGATTCCACGTCTTTATTCAATTGAAATGGCAAATCATTATTCTTTTAGATTCTCCAAGATTACGTATGCGATAGAAATTTAAACTAAATAGGAAAACTAAATAGAACTAAATAGAAATTTAAATAAATAAAACTTTAAATTTACTGCATCATATTGTTCAAACAAAGGAAGACAGATGGGAAGAGCAGCAGCAAAGGTCTTACAGCAGTAGAAGGAAATTTGACATAATCGAAAGTTCAAGCTTACTTTTATGAAATTGCTCTAACAGTCTGCAAAAAATAATAAGCAGGATCCAATTCGAAGATTAAGGAACAACGCAATCTGCAACATTAACTGAATTATATAATTTTAGCTCAGCTTATACCTCCGTTACACATAAACGCGCATGCTCACGAACATACTTGCAGCCGTAAAGGTCTTACGTGCTCTCGTAAACGCCTGTGCGCATGCGTGAACGCGACGCATGCGCAGAAAGTTTGTAGCTTTGAGGTCCGGATTATGGGTGTCCGAGTTAACGACTTTTGACTGTATATATATGTATGTATTGTTTGATGATCTTTTGTTTCAGAATTTAGATTTATTGTCTTTACCATTATTTTCTTTGTATTTAAATTTGTTAAATCATGATTTTTGTTTGCATTAGTATGCATTTTCTTTCAAGTCACATCTGGGCAGGTTTGTATCTCGATAAATGCTTTTTGTGTGTGTAAATTTATTCTCATTTGATTTTTTTTTAAATTTAAAAGACAATTTCATTAAACAGGTGTTTTTTTTTTTTTTTTTTTTTTTTTTTTTTTTTGAATTTATCCAGATATGATTCAGAGACATAATTCTGTTGTTGATAATTCTTTTGGTTGCTCCTTAAAAAAGAGAAAGGAATTATCAACTTTTTCTTAATTTTTTTTAATAATTACTTTTATCAGGTCTTTTTCCAATTGTGTTGTTTTTAATTTGAGCTTTCTTGTTGGGTAGTTTAATGCTCTTGATTGATGTATTGTTCTATTTATTTATTTATTTTTTATATATAGTTCTTGATACTTGCATGTTAGTGCAACCACCTTAGTAGAAGTTGACAAATTTTCAAAAAGAGATAAATTTTAACAATACTGCATATAACAATCCTTTAGATAACCATGGCTCAAGGCATGTCTCCTATCAAGAAACACTGCCATTTCGTCCACATTCTTTTTGTTGTATTCCAAGTTAATTGGCTTTTATTGGCAGATTGTGATATTATTTTACCTTAAACTTGATTGTAAAGCATGTTGTTCTAGAATTAATCAATGAAAGGAAATGCAGCAACATTTCTGCAGGAATACGGTATTTTGCCATATTGTTAAAGGAAACAATTGTTTTGAATCTGTGAAAGCATATTTCCATCAGAACAAAAACAATAAATAAATAAATAAATAATAAAAATAAGCTTGTAAGTAGATTTATTTTTTTATTTTCAGGATAAATATATAATTAGAATGTAAAACATATATGTATTAATATTTATGTGTGTAATAAGTGAATTTTTCCAACTGAACTGAATGATGACTTCCATCAGCATTCCTTTTTTATGTGTAAAATATCACCAAGTGGTTATGTTAATATGTAAGTACCTATTTCTTACATTAGTGTAATCTATATGCAAATTTATCATCATCTCTGTTTGTGTGATTTCTCTTATTTTGTAGATTGAAACAGGCATGAGAAACCATGAATTTGTTCCAGGACCTTTAATAGCATCTATTGCTAGTTTGAGACATGGTGGATGTCATAAGATACTAAAAGACTTGACAAGTTATGGATATGCTTCCTATGAAAGAGGAAAAAGATGTGCGTTACAATATATTCTTGGATTGTATTTTATTATATGTTTAAAAGCCTTTTTTTTTTATTTGAATACGCGGTTTTGAACTAGATGTATATTTACAAAAGATTGAATTGTGCTTTCTTGTTACTATTTACATTATTTAATATTACTGTTTGCTTTGATATGAATTAGTTATAAATTTTGGATATGAATTGTAGTAGCTATGGTTGATAGATATAAATTATTAGTTATAAACTTTGTACCCAAAAATAACTATTAAAAATAGTACATTTTGAAATCTTTTATGAACAGTAGGGTGCAGACATTATATGCAGTAAAAATGTAAGCTTTATTTTTAAATAACTATTTTAAAGCTGCCTCAAAACAAAACTTTTGTTCTAATCTCAAACTGAAAAATTTATGCTAGAAAACCTCTCTAAGATAACTTTCCATATCATAGGTGATTTGGGTGTTTTGTAGAAATATTTAGAGTGATTATCTAACAGAAATGTTGCACATTACTATCTAATAGTTATCTTCAATCCAGATTGATGGTCAACTGTCATTCACTAGTTTAACTAATAAGCTTATCTGATTGGTGCACTCAAGTGAATAAGCTAATGGCAATTAATTTTATTATATATATATATATATATATATATATATATATATATTTTACTTTTAATATTAAAGGTAAATTTTTAAAGATACTTTTTTGTACGAATATGACGATATAGCCTCCTACATACATCCTTTGATTTGGCCTTTTGAACTTACCGTGTAATCATCTGTCTTGGAAAATATCAAGTGAAATTGTTTTATGCTTTGATCATGATAAACGACAAAAGCATTTTTAGAAAGTGGCAGCATTTTTTAATATTTATTTGATTCTGCTGTTGGATATATCATCATAATAAATGATTAATTATATTGACAGTGATATGTATTTTGGAATGTTGTATTGCAAGTACCTAACATGTATCATTTAGAAATAAAGAAGAGAACTGAATCTGAGGTTCATATTGTTGAAGTTGCTGAAGTTCAATGTAGGCTTTTGTTGCATGATTCACAACTTATGGCATAGCAAGTGAGAAGATACTATCTCAGATCAGCTTTCTAGCAGACAGTGGAAAAAATAAACAATGATACATTCATGAGTTGCGTAAGGAGATAAATTTGTGAACAATATTTAAAATTAGGCAAGAAAGCAACCTTAATTTAGTATAGATTTCTTGCGTGGTTTTAAACTTTGTATTGGAGTGTTTCTCTTTCACTTCAATTATTAATAGGGTTAATTTAACATTTTAAAAAACATTTAAAAAATGTTTTAATATTTCTGTAATAAAATGCAGATTTATTAAATAATTTCTTAACAAACTATTGCTTGAAATTAGACCCAAAAAAGTTTTGTTTTGTTGTATGATGATATATTGTTTTGGTACAGTACAAAGTCTGTAATCCGAACGTCCACTATCCAGAAGGATCTATAATCCAGACCTCAAAGCCACAAACTTTTTTTTTGTATGCTTTACGCATGTACAGAGTTGCCAACTCTCCCGATTTTCAACTGCTCTCCCACTAACCCGATTTACAATATATTTCTCCCAACTTTTTCTTATTCTTAAAATTTCACATGATTTTTATGAAACTTGGCTTAATACTTCATTATATGAACAAAAAAAAAAAAAAAAAAAAGTGATTTTGGACATCTGAAAACAATTGAATTTTCTCTAGATTATATCTAAATCAAAATCTTGCGAATCAGATGAGAATTTCTGCTGTGTGAGTGAGAGCGTACGTATATAGAAACATATTGTATACGTACGCTCTCACAACATATATAACATTCTGTATACGAGCGTACGTATACAGAAACGTCGTTCTCCAGTTCTTCAATGGGCATTGAGCTCCACTGCGTTTCATCTGGCATATATTATCCAATGAGCACACAGCAAATTCAAGGCTGTTACAAAGAATATGTTCTTTGGCTGTTATTCGGATGTTCTTTAGTTATTTCTTTCATGGTGAAATACTCGTGTACATTCAAAAATCGTACACAGTTGACATTCCTTCCATTATTTCCTCAAGGAAATGTAATAAATTTACGATGCGTACCATCTGTCGTTGCGATTTTTTGATTTTGCATGGTGGAAGGGCGGATGTTCTGAAACATGTGCATACACAAAAACACAAAAACAACATGAGTTGTTTTGAAAGAAACGAAAAATTAAATTTTTCTTCGGAAACAAAAGACCAAAAAGTTATTAATGCAGAATGTCTGTTCTCTGCCTTTTTACTGGAGCACAACATGCCACTGAATGCATCGGATCACGCTGCAGCTTTATTTAGAAAAATGTTTCCCGATAGTGAAATCGCTAAGAAATACTCAAGTGCAAGGACCAAAACAGGTGCAATTGTTAAAGAAATGGATTTGAAAAATAAATCTTCAGTTATTGATTGCATTAAAACAGCTCCATCTACGGATGGAAGCAACATTACCGATTCAAAACTGTATCCAATTGTTTTTTCTTTTTTTAATCCCGAGTCTTCAGAAATTGAGTGCAGTTTACGTTCTGTTCCCACTTTAGAAGGACATTCGACAGGCTTTAATATAGCACAGCTAATTATTAAAACTTAACTTTAAAAGAAAATGCAGTCCCTCTGGATAATTGCTTAACACTTGGTGCCGATAATGCACCATTAATGGTAGGCTTGAAGACTGGTGTTGTAAGCATTTTAAGAAAGGAAAATTCAGATTTGCAGATTATGAGGTGCACCTATCACCTCTTAAATTTAGCAGCTGAAAAGGGGCAGCTTCTTTACCAATAAATGTGGATGAACACATTGCTGATATTTATTATTATCTTGAAAGGAGTTCTAAAAGGAAGAAAAAATTGAAACAGTTCCAACAGCTGTATAACACTGAAATGAGAAAATTTTTGAAATGTGTGTACATGCTGGCTGTCTTTAAAGAAATGCTTATCTAGAGTCCTCGATCAATGGAACCCACTTCTTGCATTTTTTGAAGAAGTAAATGCTTTGAGAGTTAAGATAAAAGGCTCTGTTGAAAGTTATGAAATACCTAAAGTAAATGGAGATGTAGTTACTACTTCGATTGTTAAAACTAAGTTTGAGAAAAATAAAGTAATTTCTGCACCATTCCGCAATTCAACTGGCAGTTTTCAAAATAATACTGCAAAATATAAGCATAAAGCTGATACAAATTTCTCTCAAAATGAAAAAATTGCTCAACACACAAAGCATTTTCCAATTACTGTAAGTTTATCTTGTGAAGAATTCCATTAATTCATGTTTTGCAATCAATGATTTATGATCTGTTTTAAAACATTTTATCAAAGTTTGTAAAACCAGTCTGCGTTTTGTTTTGTAATTCTATATATGATGTGATTTATGGTGAAAAAGAGAAGAAAGATAAAGATTTAATAATAGGAGCTGCAACTACAAAAGTAGTGGAAGAACTTTCAGAAGAAGACAAAAATAAGTTTTATCTTCATGTTAGAAGTTACTTCGAATATGTGATTACATACTGCATAAATTGGCAGTCAACGATGAAGTGATTTTGCATGCTAAAGTTGCTGATGTTTCTGCTCTAGCAAATGCATCTTTTTATATAAGGTACTTTTTGAACAGATTTCCTGTGTTACTTCCTTTAGTCATGAAAGATGATGATATTGATGTTGCCACTGATATATTGCAGTCGCAATTTTGCAGTTTACAATTAGAAAACTTGGATGAAGTTATAAAATCAGCTAGGATTGATACCCAGTGGAAAACTAAAAGATGCTGATGGAATTTTAAAATACAGTGAACTGTCTATAATTATGTTGGCCATCTTGACAGTTCCCCATAGTAATGCAGAGTGTGAGAGGATTTTCAGTGTTGTTGCAAAAACGAGGACTAAATTTAGATCTAATATTAGCGATAACACATTAGAAAAACTTTTAGTAGCGAAAGCAGGCCTACGTGGCAATTGCTATTAACAAAATTATGAAGTTTCTTTCTTAACGAAAGCAAAATCTGCCACTGTTCATAACATTTGTACGAAAACTGATTAATGTCTTTTTGTTTTATTTGTTTTGTTTTTTAAACGATGCAAGTAATAAAATTTTTTTTTATGTGTAAGGTATTTTTGTTTGCTATGATTAAACAGGGGTGTTGTGCTCCGGGGAAACCCCGGAATTCCGGGGATTTTGAACTTCGATACCCGGAAATTCCGGGGATCGTCGTTCAAAAGGAAGTAGGAATAATAATGAATTATTTATTTTGATCTGGGTAATTTTGTTTGCTTTGAAAGCAGAAAACGCAAGGTCAGTGTGTGTGGTGAAAACTTTTCCTTTCTTTCTCCAAAGGCAGTGATAATGCGTGAAAAGGGGGAAAAAACTTCTTTTTTGTTCTTTCCTTATTGCGAGTTATGACTCATTCCCCCGGTTCTCGGACATTCTCTTCTGGATTCTTTTCGGCAAGTAGGCGCGGCAGAAAAAAAAAGGGAGAGACTTCGTTCGACCAGATGTGTGCGATCACGTGACTCTGGGTTCAAAGGTCTTATCTCTCCTCCTGGCGTGGCGCCAATAAGTAGAGAAGGGGGATTTTTTTCGCCGTATTAGCTATTTGTCATTGATCGCTTCTCAACTTTTTTTTCCTCCGCTGTGTAAAATTTTCGTTTCATTTATTGATGCACGTGTAAATTTTTCGTTTCGTTTATTGAAATATTTTTTTATTTATGTACGCAAGAGAATTTCACTATGAAATTTCTCGATATAAATAGTGATATTATACAATTAGAAGAAGGTGTCCGGAATGCATTTAGGTGGAATTGGATTGAACGGAGAGATGGTAATGGGGATACCATCGGCACATGGTGCAAGAAAATAAATGTTGCTGGACAAGCATATTGTGTTTTTTGTAACTCACTGCTGAAGTATGGTGGGGAAGGATTCAAGGCTTTCACAAATCATTCTAAAACTGTGACGCACATAAAATATTCAAAGTGCATTAGACATTC